AAACCTGATAAATAACATGGTGTGCGAATACCCTGCTCGCTCAGGCGGGGCCTCCCTGGAGGGGTGGGAGGGGCACGAAACCTGATAAATAACATGGTGTGCGAATACCCTGCCGCTCAGGCGGGGCCTCCCTGGAGGGGTGGGAGGGGCACGAAACCTGATAAATAACATGGTGTGCGATACCCTGCTCGCTCAGGCGGGGCCTCCCTGGAGGGGTGGGAGGGGCTCGCCAGGCGGGGCCCCCTGGAGGGGTGGGATGGGCAGGATACCTGATAAATAACATGGTGTGCGAACACCCTTCCCGCTCTGGCGGGGCCTCCCTGGAGGGGTGGGAGGGGCACGAAACCTGATAAATAACATGGTGTGCGAATACCCTGCTCGCTCAGGCGGGGCCTCCCTGGAGGGGTGGGAGGGGCACGAAACCTGATAAATAACATGGTGTGCGAATACCCTGCTCGCTCAGGCGGGGCCTCCCTGGAGGGGTGGGAGGGGCACGAAACCTGATAAATAACATGGTGTGCGAATACCCTGCTCGCTCAGGCGGGGCCTCCCTGGAGGGGTGGGAGGGGCACGAAACCTGATAAATAACATGGTGTGCGAATACCCTGCTCGCTCAGGCGGGGCCTCCCTGGAGGGGTGGGAGGGGCACGAAACCTGATAAATAACATGGTGTGCGAATACCCTGCTCGCTCAGGCGGGGCCTCCCTGGAGGGGTGGGAGGGGCACGAAACCTGATAAATACATGGTGTGCGAATACCCTGCTCGCTCAGGCGGGGCCTCCCTGGAGGGGTGGGAGGGGCACGAAACCTGATAAATAACATGGTGTGCGAATACCCTGCTCGCTCAGGCGGGGCCTCCCTGGAGGGGTGGGAGGGGCACGAAACCTGATAAATAACATGGTGTGCGAATACCCTGCTCGCTCAGGCGGGGCCTCCCTGGAGGGGTGGGAGGGGCACGAAACCTGATAAATAACATGGTGTGCGAATACCCTGCTCGCTCAGGCGGGGCCTCCCTGGAGGGGTGGGAGGGGCACGAAACCTGATAAATAACATGGTGTGAGGAAAGGCATGGTATGGTATGGGATGGTGGATGCATGGTATGGTATGGTAAGGTATGGTATGGAGTGGCATGGTATTGGTATGGTATGATACAGTATGGGATGGTGGAGGAAGCGGGAGGAGGAGGAGGAGGAGGAGGAGAGGATGTTCTGGGAAAACAAGAACCCCACTCAGGATGTGGGGAATGAAAATTACCCCCAAGCACACGCACACACACACACACACACAAACACAAACGCCCACACACACTCACACACACACAAACACACACACGCTGGTTTGTAAGCCGGCGGTGCAGGCGCTGTCGGCAGGTACAAATGCCAATTGCGACGAATTTAATCGAACGCGCCATTATGAAAGAACCAGTCACGGCCATGCAGACTGGCGAAAAAGGACGAGAGGCGCTGCAAAGCCAACGTGCACCGGACAAAAAACCCAAGGAACATAACCTCGACGCGGGTAGTTTGAAGCGCGAGCGGCCGTCTGGTGCGAATTGGAGCCTCAAAAAAGACAGCACCACCTGATCAACTACAAGGCTGCCAGACCTGCCCACCTGGTGGTTGTGCATACACGCAATTTCTCGCGCGAGCATGCGCGGGCTAGCGCGGCCGCAGAAATGCACCGGCCAACGCCAAGCACTCATCGAAATCGCCGCCACATTGATTTTGCAGGTGGGCGGGTGGGATGTTTGCAACAGCATGGAAATTGACAACCCGCGTGCAAAAAAAACTCACTTTTACAAAGAGCATTGGTCCTACCACCATCCCCCCCATCGGACTTATCGATTCCCCAGAAACCTATGCAAAACGCATGTGATTCTGACCTACGTCCCTCCTACCTGTGAATTCATACTATCCCAGCCAGGCCGGCATCGGCCACCCCCTCGGTTCCCTTGCAAACACAAAAACATGCGCGCGCATTCGTAGATCAAAAAACGCAAGGGACGAAGTGCGAACGCGCGCGTCGTCGCGCGCGCATGCCGAAATCCTCAATAAACCTACGGTGTCGCAAGGATTTCCAAATCGGGTGCCCCACAAAAGACCAGGTTTCGCGACGCGGATTTTCAACAGAAGCTTGCGCGCGCGCTCTTGCGAATTCATAAGAAGACCAAGAGTTCTTCAACATGTTCATCAAATGCTACCGAACGGGCTTCGCGCGCGCATGTCGAAATCGTTCGAACGCCCTTGCGCGCGTGCTGGGGTGGCACGATCCGTGTCACATAATACCATGCGAGCCACTCTCGCGCGTCTGCCGCGCGCGCATGTCAAATTCGTTCCAAAACCTTCATCACCGACGCGAGGACGCCGCCATCGTCGTCGGCGCGATCAGCATCGGCGCCGTCAATGGCTGCCCCGTCGTCGCTGTCACCATCGTCACCAGCATCGCTACTATTATCACCGCGTCCACCGTTGAAGACGTTGCCACGATGCGGCGCCCGCCCCAAGTCGCCGACTCGCACTGAAGTGCCCGCTGGGATGTGCCGAGCGGTCAGCGCCACCGCGTTGGCGCCTGTCGCGCCAAACTAGCTGGCGGCTGCGCGCGCGAGCATAGGCGGGCTAGCGCGACCGCAAAGATACACCAGCCAACACCCAGCACTCATTGCAATCGCTCCCGCATGGGTTTTGCACACCAAGTTGCGGGTGGGTGGGCGGGATGATTGCTCGAGCGCTGGAACTGGCAACTGCAAGTTCGGCAAGTGAATTCCCCTCTCTAAACAAAGATAACTTCTTCCACACACACACACACACACACACACACACACACACACACACACACCTTCCCGGGATTAAAGACCCCCCGGGAAGCGATGCAAAACGCGTAGGAGTCAAACCCAATGCCCACCCGACCTGTGAATTTATACTATCCCACCCAGGCCGGCATCGACCCCCCCGCCATCCTTTGCAAAAATACAATGCGCGCACACTCGTTCATCACAATTCATAAATGTTCAATAACTCTTTGCAAAAAAAATATGCGAATTGCGCACGCGCGCGTCGTCGCGCGCTCATGCCGAAATCCTTCACAAACCTTCGGTTTCGGCAGGAGTTCAAAATCGAGTGTCCAAAAAGAATATTGAAACACATGGTTTCGCAACACGAACTCTCAAACAAAAGCCATGCGCGCTCTTGCGAAGTCTTAATAAAACCGTAGGTGCTTAAAGATTCCCACAGAATACTACCAGACGGGCTTCGCGCGCGCATGTCGATATCGTCCGAGCGCCCTTGCGCGCGCGCCGTCGCAAGAATCCTCTGCAACAGAACTGGGGCGAAGTGCACGCGCGCGCGTCGTCGCGCGCGCATGCCAAAATCCTCCACACATTCTCGTGTTCGGAAGTATGTCAAGATCGAGTGTCCAGAACACATAAATTAATTGTTTAAAAACAAAAAAAACGCAGCACAGAGTTTCAACAAAAGCGTGCGCGCTCTTCCGAATTCTTAAGGTAACCAGAATCTCTTTTCAACCTGCTCATAAAATGCTACCAAACAGGCTTCGCGCGCGCGCATGTCGAAATCGTTCGAACGCCCTTGCGCGCGTGCTGGGGGTGGCACGGTCCGTGTCCAATAATACCATGCGAGCCACTCTCGCGCGTCTGCCGCGCGCGCATTTCAGATTCGTTCCAAAACCTTCATCACCGACGCGAAGACGCCGTCATCGTCGTCGGCGTGATCGGTATCAGTGCCGTCACTGGTCGTGCCGCCGTCGCTGTCAGCATCGTCAGCAGTATCGCTGCGATCATCATCATCGCGTCTACCGTCGACGACGTTGCCTTGCAACCGCGCCCGCCCAAGTTGTCGGCTCGCACTCAAGTGCCCGCCTGGATGTGCCGAGCGGTCAGCACCACCGCGTTCGCGTCGGTCGCGCCAAACTAGCTGGCCTCTGCGCGCGCAAGCACGCGCGGGCTAGCGCGGCCGCGGAGATGCACCAGCCAGCGCAAAGCACTCATCGCAATCGCCGCCGCATGAGGTTTGCAAACCAAGTTGCGGGTGGGTGGGTGGGATGTTTGCGCCAGCAGTGGAGTGGACAACTCACTGTGAACATACATTAATTTCACCACATCGTTTGCACCACACAGATCGCACCACATAGATTGCTCCACATGGGTTGCACCACATAGAGGGCTTCACATTGGGTGCGCAGCAGACGCTGCTAGAAACTCACTGCGTGGGGTCCACGTTGGCTACCGTATACCTGGACATACAATACTAGACCTATACATATACACATACTATGTATGTGTGTACGTGCGTATGTATATATATATATATATATATATATATATACATACATATATATATATATATATATATATGTATGTGTGTGCATGGATGTATGCATGCATGTATGTACGCATGTTTGTACATATGTATGGGTGTACATGTGTACGTATGTATGTGCGTGTGTTTGTATGTGTACATCATGTAGTTATGTATGTATGCGGATATGAATGTATGTATGTATGATGCATGCGTGTATGCAGTTATAAAGATGTGTGTACATGTGTAAATATGCACATGTGTACAGGTGTAACGTATACAAGTACGTACGTATGGATGTGAGTATGCATGTGTATGTATGTGTATATGTATGTATGTATATATGCATGCATGTGTATGCTATGTATATGTGTGTTTGTGTACATACGCATGGATGCAAGTCCATGCATATGTAGGTGTGTATGGATGCATGCATGGATGTAAGTATGTGGGTATGTAGGTGTATTAATGTATGTATGTGTCTATGCATGTACGTGTATGTGTGTACTGGGAAGCGATGCGGAGTCCCTCCCCGTGTTCCCTCCCCGTCCTCCCTCTGCCCACGCACCCCGCCTCTCCCCCATCCCCTTTGGAGAGGGGGAGGGGGACGCGGAGGAAGGTGGGGAGGGAAGTGGAAGAAAGATAAGGTGAGGGGGGGAGCAGGGGGGGAGGGGGGGGAGCTGACTTCCTCGAAATCGAAGGTGGTCATCTGGTCAACCGCAAGGTTCACCACCTCCTCCTGTCTTCCCCGTTTCCGCAAGAGCTCCTGGCTAGCACGGCGAACAAGGCGCTCTCCCTTGATCCGTGCGCCCCCCCCCCCCCTCCCCCCGTCTCTTCCGCCAGTTTCTGCTCACCCTTCCTCCTGCTCCGCCTCCTCCGCCTCCTCCTCTCCTCTTCCTCCTCCTCCTCCTCCTCCGCCTACTCCTTCTCCTCCTAATCCTCCTCCGCATCCTCCTCATCCTCCTCATCCTCATGATCCTCCTCCTCTTCCCACCCCTCCTCATCCTCCTCCTCCTCATCCTCCTCCTCATCATCATCCTCTTCCTCCTCCCCTGCCTCCTCCGCATCCTCCTCCTCCGACTCCGAATCACAATTTGGACTGGCAGGGACATGACCGACTACGGAATGGCTGGTTCCCTCACCCAAGCGAGTTTGCCCCCCCCCCTTCTATTCGGCCAGGCGGGGGAGGGCACACACAAGATTACCACCATGAGAATCGTGCATTACAACACGCTGTCCGAGGGATATGTTGAAAGGTTGAGCGATATAAGCCAATACGTGTTACAATGGGATGGTATCCGCATCAACGGGACAGCGAAGTGGAGCGTGGCGGAGCAGGTGAAAGACAACGACCCTCCCACGCCACGGGTGCGTGCGATTCAGAGCAAAAAAGGGGACGCATGGTTACGACGGCGTGTGGAGCCCCTATCCTAATTAGCAAGAAGTTCTCACCCCAGGCAATGCGAGCTATGTACTACCCTCTAGCAGGTATCCAAGGCCGTGTGGCAAGTACTAAACTACATGCCAATCAACATGACTACGCGATGGTATCGACCTGCTGCGCCCCAGTGCATGTCCGATGCTGTGCAGAGATAGGGAAGGGAATTTGCAACTGGCGTGAACCCACAACCGACGGTATCGGAGCGAGAGTCATGATTGTTATCGGGTGGTAAATAAACAGTGATCTGGGGGTTGTATAGAGCACCAAGCGGGCGTGTGCAACACCCCCACGAGAAGTATATAGGACCCTACGCGGACGTACCAGAGAACGACATCGGCACTGTGGTGAGAAACTGTGCTACCAACAGCGAGCTAACAATTATGACGACGTTCTACCGCACAGGACCGACTGTCCACGGCATCAAAGGGCGTACTAGCAGAGTGGACCGCCTACAGATACCCACGGGGGCGCTAGGAATTGTGGAACGATACATGGTGCTACACACAGAAGGCAAACGACTAGGGCTCATCAAGGCCCGAGGGCCCCGTGACCATCTGCCAGCAAGCCTCGTTCTAGACCGCCAGGCCCGTCACCTACACCGCACCCACATTCCTCCTACTCAGAGGCTGGACCGCGACGCCCTAATGCGTTGCCTGAGGAAGGGCAGAGGAGAGAGGAGCTGCTTCGGAATATGGAGGAGGAGGTTGCGAAGACGGCAGAGGAGGAGTGGAGAGACATTCTGAACGCGCCCACCCCCGACAGAGCGTGGGCACGATTCAGAGATGCCATCCGACAGGCGCTTCGCTCGACGTTCCCAGAAAAGAAAGCACAGGATGACCCGATCGAGGCACGCCTCAAGGAGACGCGACTGAGACTACTAGAGGACAGAAGGGCGCTCCGAGGGACGATGGCTCCAGAGATCACCGAGTCGGAGCTAGAAAAAAAGTGCGAGAAGCTGAGAGAGGTCACCGCTGCCCTGAAGAAGATGCGAGAGGAGAGCGAGGCTGGTGGAGGAGATACGGGAGGCGTCGGAGAAGGGGGACTTCGCCGAGATGCACCGCCTCAGAATTCAGTACCAGGCAAACGGCAGGGGGCCCAAAACACGATACGATGTCGCCCCCAAAACTCATTGGAGGAGTGGGAGGAGGAGCTGGCGAAGAGACCTGAGGAAGGAGGGCTAGGTGCAATGAGGATGAGGTCGAGGAGCAGCTGGAGGAACACGAACAGCTCCATGCAGACCGAATGCCCCCAACGTGCGATCAGGACCTGCTCGCGTGCGTCGCCCGTGACAGGCGCTCGATGTTGAGGTATTGGAGGAAGGCCAAGAAACGACGGGCGCGGCCACAGTGGGGCTCACCAGTTGAAGCCACTCTGATCCTTCTCGACCCGACTGCACAAATGACCGACCCCAGGGAGGCACTGAGGAGGTGGGAGGAGAGAGTGGCGAGAGCGGCAGGAGAGGATGAAGAAGAGCTGGCACGACTGTCGACAGCTTTCCGATTCCAGCGAGGCAGGAGGCTACTCGAGCGGCTGGGGTGGACAGGAAGAGGACTAGGGCAGAGAGAGGGCATGGTCGCAGATCCTCAGGTACTATATGCGAGCTTCGGTGCGGGGAGGGAGGAGCGTGCGGGGTTAGGATGGGGCAAGCCTAAAGACTACACTACTACCCTGGTACAACAACGGTTCACAGATGTACTCATCAAATGTAGGACGGCGGTGACGACTCCCCTGGATTGGCACCGATCACTGGCCTTTGGTGCTGACAAATCAAATCGGAACGGGCATACGGGGAAAATGTATCATGCATGTGTACGGCAGCACAAGTATCCACCGTCGCGGCACTCCGACGACCCACCCGGCGTGGGCGCAAGGAGGACTGCCATCGCGATGTCGTGGGAACGCTATTGTGACGAGTGGTGCGACAAGGTGGAAGCCCAGCCAACTAGGATAGAGTAGTGTGCGTGTGTGTGCACAAACTATGATTGTGGCAATGCGTTTGTCAGCACTAAGAAGACCCTCCTCCAGGCAGTAGCATTTAGGCAAGCAGATGAATGGGATCAACCACATGCGGTGAGTGCCATAGACCAGACCAGCTTGTCTATGGAGACAGCTGACGGATGGCTTACGATGGCGACAAACACAGGAGCGCAGATGGGATTCACGCTCTGCCCACGACATTTTAACGACAGTTACGCAATATGTGTGGGCAAGTGGAAAGAGAAACCACGTACAGATCCTACTCAGAAGCTGCACGACACACCTCACCCGATCTCAGGTACGATTTACGCCGTGGCTACCAACACGTTCATGGATGACATTACAAAAACATGCACCACCCCGAACGAGAGCTCAGAACTGGGCATGGTCTCGCAACTTAATGACGCCACAGCCAGCCTGAAGGACACCATACAAGTAGGAGGCTGGACGTTGATTAACCAAAAAACTAACCACCTACTAGACCTCAAGGGCAAGGGGAGCTACGCATGCACCCGTAGGATAAGACGGTCTGAAGTCTTGGCAGGGGCAGAATGCGGGGGATGAGGGGTATGCTAAGGTCCGTATGTACCTTCCGACCAGGGGCTGGGAGGGGAAGTCCGCAGGAGGTGTAACGCCGTGCGCCGTGCGTGGCGACAGGAAGGGATCGTCTGGAGCTCGAAGACGGCGTTCGACATCAAAAAGATGATGCTCATCGCGTTCGTGTACACTGAGCGTGCTTACCTGTTTTGTCGTACCTGCTGCTGCCACCGACGCCCTTGACTGTCTGATAGGGAAGTAGTTGCGCACGCTTGTTCGGGGGAAGATGTCATGGGTCAGGGAAGATGGGTCGACACGTTGTCACAACACGGTACGCGTGTTCAGAGAGTGGCGTCTCGAGCGGACAGCAACGGCCTTGGGAGTGCGGCGACTCAAGTGGTACCAACCATGGGCACGACGGTCACAAGAGCACAGCCACGTTGTTGCGGCGATCTTCGGGAACTCGGTAATGGATCGACGTGAAGTTATATATCGACTCGAGCGAGGCGACCGATTATGACCCAACCCGACCCCGATGGCAAAGCAACGTACCCTCCTGTCCCAAATCGTGATCACCAATCAATGCCCATGGTGCCTAACTGTGTTCAATAACCGCAGGACCGCTATTGATCATGTGCACCGAGCCTGCGAACGACACGGGGTCTGCCACACTGATTTCTCAAAGTGGGCCCATGAGGTTCTGGCTCAAGCACCGCTGGAATGCTCAGTCTGTCAACATGTGGCTCGAGACCTGCATTCATTTCAGCTACGCGTGCGAGAGCACCACGTCGGACCCGAGAGTGGACTAGCACGCAGAGATGAGTGTGCTCCCTGCACCTTGCGATGCCTGGCAGCTAGGCGTCAAGCGCGGGGCAGGCTCTGCAGCAGCAGTACCAGCACGCAAGGCGCGGCTCGAAGCAGCTGGCGCGGGCGGGGGGGAGGGGGGCACCGCGAGGGCCAGGACGCGACTTCGAGGAGGAGCACGACCAGTTCCAGGCTCTGTAGAAGCTGGCTCTCAAGAACGCCCAGGCCATCAGAGAGCTGATGCACGCCGCCTCGGACTTCTGGCTCCTTCCAGCCACAGCCAAACCCTTCGCAGAAGGCTTGGAGGCGGCAAGGGCGTACGGCAAGGCAGTCCGCGCAGCGGGCTAGAAACACGGCATGGGCGCTCCTCGCATCCACGTTGCGATGGCCACCCTGAGGGCGCTCCACGACGAGATCGACGGCGAGAGCGGCAGCCAGAGAGAGCTCGAGAGCAAGGGGATCCTCAAGGACTTCGCCGAGACGACCAACCACACCCACGGCAAGTTACAGGAGACCCACAAGAGGGACGATTTGGAGGAGGGGGACCGCCTGGGGAAGATCACTAATACGATCAATCCCACGCCGACATGGAGGCGATCCTTGAGAAGCACGAGGTGGCAGAGCAGGTGATCGCAGCAGTGAAGGCCTTCTCGACGATCAAGCTCAAGAACGCCATCTAGGTCGGCCTCCAGTCGATCAATGGCAATGAAGCCACGGGCCCAGGGCCAAAGACGGCGCTGGAGAGGGCGGTGGAGAGCACGTTGCGGCGCCGCTGAGAAGGGAGGCTTCCAGCACGGGAGAGACGAGACGGCCAGATCCCGACACGAGCAATGCCACGTCGTCGACGGAGCAACGACGCCAGACCACTACGGTAGGGCACGGTACCGCCTCTCTCCGCCCATTTTGGGCTGATGCCAACGATGCCGAGAGAGAGAGAAAGAGAGAGAGAGACTGTGTCTGTTCTAGGTCGGACTCAGGGCCCCCACCAGTTTCCTGGCCCCCTAGCT